CAAGAAATTTATTAATTAAATTACGGAAGTTTCTTTGAAATACAAAGAAGTGTTCCCACGAAATACTAACGAATTCCTCAATGACTAACCTAGTCATAAATCACCTGGATATTGAAAATAAAAATTAACCTTTAAAGTTGGTTAATGTAGAAGTATAAAAAGGAAGGATTTTTCGATGTTTCCTCACAGAATCTTTTGCCTTTCACCTGCTCACAGTCCCTTCTCGTCTACCAAGGTAAGAAACTTTGACATCATCGTCTCAAGCTACGGTCCGGAGTCTGCATATATAGCTCAATCGCATCAACTCGGGTCTTTCCGTCAGAGGTTATTTTCCCGACCTCTGACGGAAAGACCCTAGATGATGCGATTGCATATAAACTCTCTCTCTCTCTCTTATGGGGTTTATAATACATTTTGCCCGCGGTTGTACGTGTGGTTTGTTAATTACCGGCCGCCAGGAGGCGGTCGGTTATATGATATAAAAGTTTGAAGTCGCTGTGCGTTTCTGCGGAGTTAAAACAATTTAAATAGAAATATTTAACATTAATATTATAGTATATTAAAAAGAGCGTCTAAATGTTTAACAAGAACGCACAATAAACATAAAATTAAAATTTTTTATAAAGAATGAGGTAAATATTTCATCCAATCCTGATTGAGAAACTTAGACATGTTTGAGGTGCAGAGAAAATTAGGACATGTGTTGGGCATAGTCTAAAGCAAAGACCGCGTTATGTATATTGCACAATTTTACTGTCTCTATTTAAACAGGATCTGTTGTACGCATTTATTTGAAAATGACATGTACACATGTACATATATAAAAATTTTCAAAAATATGGTTAAATGTTAATTTATTAAAAGACCTAGCAGGCTATAGAATATTACGAGATATGGCCTAGCAGACGAGGATAATGCACGTTTTACAATGTGCCAAGAATTTTCCCGCTACAACTCAAAGAAACAGAGAAGAAATATAGTGGCGTATCTAGAGGGAGTTTAGTTTTTTCCTCTAAGAGAGAGCAAGGAGCCCACATATTTGTTGCGTTTTTAATGAATTAAAACTACACTGCATATCTAGTTGTAGATTACATTAAACTTTGGTATTAAACTTTTAATGTAAATGCATCTTGATTATACAGGCCCACGGTTTGTTGACACAGAGGACCAGGGGTACTTTGCTTATATATACATGTAATACTGAACATGTACTTTATAATTAAGAAAATCATGCAATGTCGTGCACAAGCGTTTAATGTCACGAGGATATATATTAACAGATAAATACAAGATAATTTAAAACAGATCACCATTTCAGTCTTTTATAGTTGCCTCTTAAAAGGAACAATTAATTGGTTTGCGGCCGATTTCTGACGCTTGCGTCAATATATGTTTCTTGTTTTGTCTTTAAGAAGTTTTTAAAAACTTTAATAGAATAAGCAGGTAAATTTCTCATAGTTTTTAGAAAAAAGGAAGAAAAAAATAACTTTTAATGCAAAAGTCTTAGAAATAATGTGCACAACAAAGGGGAGAATACTTTTGTGTCCTATCACTCGTACATTTCAAATTAGATGTCCTTCGTCTACCTAGAGATTTGTCTAAAACAATTTATTTTTCGGTTAAAAAAACATAGAAGAACGACATAATATTTTATGACATAGTCATCATATCTTTTCGCAGAATATTTGTTTTGTAATCAAGATTTCACATTTTAGGCTTTGTTGTCTAACATGTCAGTCTTTCTGAAAAAAAGATAATTATTTTATTGCCTGCGTTCAATCCACAAGAAAATAACATTTTTAAAAATTTTAAAAATGAAATATTAGCAGATGACATTTTTCACAAAAAAAAGTTTTATTGTTATTATACATTGTAGGTCCATGTCTTTTGAAAAAAAAATTATCCTAGTTTTAATCTTAACATTCAAGCAATAACAGCTGAAACACGGGTTTTTGATAATTCTGTACTTTTTTCAGAGAGAAAAAAAGATTTCATTTCAATGAACTTGACTTAAAATTGATTTGAGAATACCAATAGTTTGCTTATGCTATGGAATACATGAGTGAACATAAAAAATAAGTATTTTTTCTTAGCTGTAGAATCTTAATTTGAAGAAAAAAAATGAACTTCCTGACTTTCTTTTGAATCCCATGCACATGTGGGTTTTATGATTTCTGTAACATTACTATGTTTTCTTATAAGGATGTTCAAGCTGCTGTGCTGTCTAGCTCTGCTGGCCATAGCCGTCGCTGATGACTATTATGTCCCATCCTACAGTGGATTAAAGGGAAACAACTTAGGAGTTAGTACAGTCATCTATGGGGGCATAGGCAAAGGAAATGTCATCCTTGGAAACCAAGGATATGGAGGAATCAGCACTTGGGGCAAAGGGTATGGGGGATCATGGAACACCGGGCTCATTTTAGGAGGAAAAGGATTAATGGGCGGTAATTATGGTTACCCTGGATATGGAGGAGTCTTGGTAGGAGGAAAAGGATTATTGGGCGGTAACTATGGTAACATCGGATATGGAGGAGTCTTGTTAGGAGGAAAAGGATTATTGGGTGGTAACTATGGTAACATCGGATATGGAGGACCCTTGGTAGGAGGAAAAGGAATAGGAGGAATTCTCCTTGGAGGCAAAGGATTAGTAGGCAGTGGTTATGGAAACATTGGATACGGAGGTGTTCTGTTGGGAGGAAAGGGACTACTCGGCGGAAACTACGGTGCTAAAGGAATGGGAGGAATTGTCCTTGGAGGCAAAGGATTAGTAGGCAGTGGATATGGTAATCTGGGATACGGAGGAATCTCTTCTGTTGTAGGAATCAAGGTAATAGAATAAACTACGATGATTCTTATGCATATGGTAATAAATGATTTTATTCTTGTTTTATTTTCCAAAACCATGCTACTTTGGAGTATGAAATTTTAATATTATTTTCATCTTTTTTTCAGGATTATTATTGAAAACCTGGATGAACGTATTTACGCTGAAATTGTCACTGTCATTTTTCTATTAACAAAATAAATCTTGAGCACCGGTAACTAGACTTGATCTTGTATATTTCTGAGCTCTGAAAAGAAGAAAAGCTAAAAAGTATGCATGTAATAATAGTAATTGGTTCGATTATAACGCTTCATTAATGAATATTCGGAGTACTGTCTTTTTTCGGGGGGGGGGGGGTAAAACGAATCGGATTTGAAAATTTGGATTTTTTTGTATTATAGTTGTAAAATACTAATGTACCACGATTAATACATGTATAGACCTATAATACATGCATGTAATACTGGGTTGCCTGGTACATGTACCTGATCTCAAATACAGGTCTAACTAATTTCACCAGGACAAATTTATCAATATTCATTGATATATCTTGTAAAAAAAAATTGAATCGGAAATCGAATTGAAAATTTGGATTCCTTGTATTATAGCTGTAAATTACTAATGTACCACGCATCATACATGCTTAAATCTAAAATAATTCTGAACTGACTGACTTGATTTCGAATACAGGTCATGTGCATATACAGCTGTAGTACCATCAAAAGTATACAGTGTATTCAAGGAAATGCTTACACGTGACTGAATTTTGAATTCCTAGTACTTCAATGTATTACTTTTCAATGAAATACTTTTACCAAAGACATTGTGATTAGGTATTGTGAGAAACCAATAAAAATAACCCCAATATGAACCATGCTCTGGTTTGTCAACGTTTTCAACTTCACATTTCTTAATTTTCAATAAAATAAAAAGAAATTCGGTGAACAAATACATGTATTAGTTCTTTAACTGGTGTCATCAAAAAATGAATCAGTGCACGCACTTTTCCTCATTTTTAAATTTCGTTTGCTATGAACATGTATATTTTTTAAGTATTTTAATGAAATTCTTTGAACTTTTTTTAGAGGATCTCTTTATCATGACATATATATGATAGATATATGATATTCAATATAGAAAACTCCCTATTTAGGGAAATCGAATCAGATTTGTAGAAAACATCCATTAACTCCTCCAAGAAATACTGATGGTCTTTCATTTTTTCATACCATTAAAACATTTCCTAAATAAAATAACTAAGTTTATCATCTGAAAATTTTTAAGCAGAGGAAAAGCTTCCCAGAGGTTCATGCTATCATCTCCTCTTAAAAATTTCATTCAACTTTGATGCGAATTTTGATTTTCTTCAGTATGATTGGTTGATGATGGTTAACAAATCTTTATTTTTTAACAGAAATATAACAGATAACACAAATCATCCAAACAGAAAAATAATAATGAAACATTTATAATCAAATAAATTCAACACTGTCTCCAAAAATACTGTAAACTTGTGTCTTTGATCTTTGATAAAAAAAATCACTCATTTTATGTTCATATTATCTATGCAAAGAAATAATCTATTTAACAAATCAATCATTGTGAACTACATCACATGATTTTGAAAAATACCAATTTTTTTTCCAATTTATCAATAGAAAAATCTCTACAGATTTACAGACCTGTGTTTTTCTTCTTTATATTAATCCTCATAGTTTTTTTTAACCATGCCAAGACCATGCTTTCCTTTTATTTGAATTTTCTGGACCTTTGAAACAAATATTTTTAATATACATAAACTTATCATTGTTTTTCCAATGCAAGAAGTTGTGTTCACTTTTTTCCTAGATTTACTAGACTGTTTTACAAGAATTTTTTTATAGTAATACTGCAAAAACATTTTATACCAAATACTGTGAATGATAACTACAATACCAGCTAAACCATAAGTATAAGTGAGGTGAATTGCATGCCTGGTTATTTTAACATCTCCATAATTATATACACCAAATTCAATACTTCAACTTTTTTTAGCATTACTATATTGTATATATGTGCAACTGTATGATTATATTTTTGCAACTCAATTTACAGTAACAATTTATTGTCATCTCTCTCTCTCTCTCTCTCTCTCTCTCTCTCTCTCTCTCTCTCTCAAAGAAAGGCAAAAACCAAATGAATATTAAAATCAAATTTATGTTGGACGGAATACCAGGTACATTATAAATGTATATGAAAGAAAATCATCATAAACAATATATCACAGTTTTCGATAATACTTTTAAAAAATCAAAAATACCATTATCCATAACATTTTTCAAAAAATCACTTAAAACTATCTTATATTGCAACTTCTCTTGAATACTGATTCAGGATAACACAAAAAAAAATACTCTGACATTCAATTTCTTCAATCATACATGTAATTTGTTAGGCATAATCTAAAAATATGTATTGTTTTTTTCCAAACTTGAGCAATGATCACAGCAAAGAAAGTCTGAATATATAATTATGGGTATAAAAGCAAGATATGTCCACACAGTTTAACAGGTCGGAGAGAATACTCGAAATCGGGTATTATCCGTGAAATCGCGTCTAATACTTGATATTAGGGTATCGTTGAATCCGCGAAATCGGGTATTCCGTGCAACTTTCTATAAAAACTAAAGAATAAAGCAACGGCGCATTATGCCAGTAACTGTTACTTGTACATCAGTATCTTGTGGATTTATTTTTATTAAACCTAATTCATACGGTTGTCAAATAAGTTTAAAATCACACGACAAACACTGCTGGGGTAACAAAGAGGACACAATTGCGTTATTATTTTTCAATATAATTTCTAAAAACAAATAACTACACTTCGTTTGTCGTTATTTCCCATTAAAGTATTCCATATACTTAATTTTCTAATTCGTGCACTATTCACAAAACGTGAAATTTTAAAGAAATTAAACGACTAATGCCGTGTTATGTATTTTTACTGAAAAATGTATGGCGTCCCTTTCACGTGAAATATAAATTATTCATAACAGTTAGAGTGTACAGTATAAGCGAGTCATAATTGTATATCTCTGCCATAATAGAATACCAACGTTATTATAAAGAAGAAAATAAAATAAGATTAAATAAATACCCACGGGAAAACAGTTTGAAAATAGCTAATTGAAGGTGAGTATCTTTTTTTATGTCAATTTAGCATGAAATTTTTATTCAAAGACACCGTAAATTTTTTGGTTACATTTTAATCGATACAAGATATGCTATTTTACCTTTATTTTATGCATATGTGTGAAAATTGAGAGCGAGAAGTCATATGAACAGGATTTTCTCTCTCTTTTTTGGGGGGGGGGTATAAATAAAAGTCAAATGTGTACATCTTTTCATGAGTTTATAATACATTGAATTTCTCAATAAAGAGCGATGTACAGTCATATTGAAATATGAATTACATAGTCAAGTTTTCACATTTCTTATAGATTTTACGTTTATGAACATGTTAATGAACAAACTGAAGTAATGGAGTGTTCAATTGCCTTGGAAACTCTTGTCTTACTTTTTGGGAATATAATTCCTCATCGGACATTAAAATTTCATAAAAATCGTAGCCACTTCCTTTCTTTATTATACTATTTGATAGACAGGGTAAATTTTACCTCTTTACCTTCTATATTTTTTTATTATCGCTATCTTATACCTCATTATAATATGCTAATACAACGCACTATCTGATTGGTTCTAGACAATATGTTACAGTTTTCTTTTAGTTATTTTATCTATGATACGTATTACTCATGGCAATAACTTTTCCTAATACTCATCTATAATGAAAAAATGTGTTTAAAAAATAAACATGAATTCTAATTACTTGTTGTCTCATATTGTGTTAGAAAATAACAGGTTGCTTTTTGTTTACCTACAATGTATATGATTTTTATTGATGAATAAATCTTCCCTACAATTAAAAATATATGACCGAGTTTAACCGACCGTGACATTCAAAGAGAGGTCTCTTGGACACATGTAGAACACAGTCGAGGTCGAGTCAAGAAGCCTTTAGCCCCCCCCCTTTTGAAGTCGCCAAGAAATGGTAAAATATTGATGACTTAGCGAAATTAAACGATCAATAGTTATGTTCTCTCATAAGCTGTACTCCTGAAACTATTACTGTCTCTGCTAAAATGTTGAAGACATATTCTGCAAATATGTATGAATCAGTGATAAATAAAAAAGAAAAGATTTTCAAAAAAAGAGAATGAGAGTTCTTTTAGCCGAAATTTTAGACATTTTTATCATTACATTATATATACATTCATAAATAAATTTGATTTTATGCACAAGATGAATGTGAAAGTAATTAATGACGCATAATTAGATACGATAGACATTCCCTTGTTTATACATGGCATCAAATCTTATGTGTGAAATGTGTTTCCGTATAATTTGATTTATTTACAAATAGTTCATGTTTGTCGTGTTGATGTGGAATTATTATAAATTCCCGAATTCTGATACTTTACAATTCTGTTATGTTGGGAATGAACATTAGGAAGATGCATATACTTTCAACATAAGGAAAAATATAAAGCAAATCGAACGCCTTTTTGTGTGCAGGTCATGAAATGTACTGAGCTCCACGGGTATTTGTTGTCCCGAGCGCATTAATCTTGAAGCCCAAATTCTTACTTGGCTGGTGATACCTTTAGAGAACATGTGTATCTAGATGAAAGTTGACTCGGCAACATGCGCCATCCCATTGTTTAAGTTTTATTAGGTGATTACACCTCCTATACCCGATTTCGCGGATTCAACGATACCCTAATATCGAGTATTATACCCGATTTCACGGATAATACGCGATTTCGAGTATTCTCTCCGACCTGTTTAAATCCAATTGATAATGCAC